ATATCTGATGCTATGTATAACCTACTCAACTGTAACCACTACTAACCTGTTAAAGCTTACATATTCTCTTGTAGGAGCAGAATTTTTATAATATAAAGGAAGTAGAAGCTTGTTTTAGTGACAGGACTTCAAGCCACATTTCATGTTCATGGACAAAAGGCTCTAACACTGAGCCACATCCTGAACCCTAAATTCAATCCCATTTTCAGGACCTATCAATAATTTAAACCATCTCAATATAAGTCAGTACTGACCACCGTAAAAACACTAAAGCCTTTGCTATGATGTATAACAAAGAGTTTTTAAGTTCTAATGTTTATAGTAGCAAAGTAAGTGACATAAAGAAGTAAGTTCAGGTCCTTAGCACATTGATGCACATGCATGCCTCATTTATAGGGTACCAGTCTGTAACCCTGGATCCAATTCTTTAAGAGCAACTGAAAACCCTGATTGTTCATGAAATTCCTGGAAGTTTAACTTGTAGATGTAATTCTGAATGGTCTTATTAAATAAGAAACACAGAGCCAAATACAGTTAAAAGCTCAGAGATCAGAGAATAGTAGCCAAGTTCTAAGACCACTTTCTTACCACCCAGTGCCGCTGTTGTCCTTCCCCTGAGAGGGACCTTCTTCCTGTGTGTCTGTATTTTTATTGCTTTTTTTCCTGCCTTCTCATTGGCTCTAAACCCAACCACATGACTTTCTCATCACTGCCTGTCTATACAGACCTCCAGGTCTCTATGGTTGGTACTTGGATTAAAGGCATGTGTCATCATGCTGGCTGTGTTCTTGAATACACAGACTCTGCCTGCCATGTGATTGGATTAAGGGCGTATGCTACCACTGCCAGACTTCTGCTTCAAGGCTATGACCTCTGACCCCCAGGTAACTTTATTTATTAGCATACAAATAAAATCACATTTCAGCACAAATAAAATATCACCATATTTCCCCTTTCTATTCTAATAAAAAAGGAAAATACTTATAACTAATATAATAAAGACTATATACAATAAGTACAATAATTATATATAATATATACAGGCAATAAATACTTAAACAATGTCTAGTCCATTTGCATTTGACAAATTCAGCAAAAATATTCCATTATCTATTCTATTTTGGTGAGTCCAAAATGTACCTGATTCACTTTCTATCCTAACTTATATTACTAACAGAACTATCTTATAATGTCTTTCAAATTTATACACTTACACCTCTTTAGTGAGTTTCTTTTCTAAAATTCTTTTTTAAAATTTTTTATTTCATAATTTAATTTAATTTTACATATCAGCCACGTATTCCCTTGTCCTCTCTCTTCCCCGCTTCCCCCCAGCCCACCCCCCATTCCCATCTCCTCCAGGGCAAAGACTCCCTTGGGGATTCAGCTCAACCTGGTAGATTCAGTCCAGGCAGGTCCAGTCCCCTCCTCCCAGGCTGAGCAAAGTGTCCCTGCATAAGTCCCAGGTTCCAAACAGCCAGCTCATGCACTGAGGACAGGTCCCAGTCCCACTGCCTGGATGCCTTCCAAACAGTTCAAGCTAATCAACTGTCTCACTTATCCAGAGGGCCTGATCCAGTTGGGGACTCCTCAGCTATTGGTTCATAGTTCATGTGTTTCCATTAGTTTGGCTATTTGTCCCTGTGCTTTATCCAACCTTGGTTTCAACAATTCTCACTCACACAATCCCTCCTCTTTCTCACCAATTGAAATCCTGGAGCTCCACCTGGGGCCTGGCTGTGGAGCTTTGCATCCAATTCCCTCAGTCATTGGATGAGATTTCTAGCACAACAGTTAGGATGTTTGGCCATCTGATCACCAGAGTAGGTCAGTTCGGGCTTTCTCTCAACCATTGCCAGTAATCTATTGTGGAGGTATCTTTGTGGATTTCTGGGGACCTCCCTAGCACTTTGCTTCTTCCTATTCCCATGTGGTCTTCATTTATCATAGTCTCATTCCTTGTTCTCCCTCTCTGTTCTTGATCCAGCTGGGATCTCCCGCTCCCCCACTCTCGTTCCCTCGACCCTTGCCCTTCTTTACCCCTACTCATCTCCAGGTTGTTCATGTAGATCTCATCCATTTCTCTGTCATTGGATGATCCCTGTGTCTTTCTTAGGGTCCTGTTTTCTAGGTAGCCTCCCTGGAGTTGTGAATAGCAGTCTAGTCATCTTTGTTTTATATGTAGTATCCTCCTATGACTGAGTACATACCATGTTTGTCTTTCTGAGTCTGGGTTACCTCACTCAGGATGATTTTTTCTAGAACCATCCATTTGCCTGCAAACCTCATGATGTCATTGTTTTTCTCTGCTGAGTTGTACTCCATTGTGTATATGTACCACATTTTATTTATCCATTCTTCAGTTGAAGGGCATCTAGGTTGTTTCCAGGTTCTGGCTATTACAAACAATGCTGACATGAACACAGCTGAGCAAGTGCCCTTGTGGTATGATTGAGCATTCCTTGGGAATATGCCCAAGAGTGGTATAGCTGGATCTTGGGGGAGATTGATTTCCAATTTTTTGAGAAACTGCCATATTGATTTCCAAAGTGGCTGTACAAGCTTGCATTCCCACCAGCAGTGGAGGAGAGTTTCCCTTGCTCCACATCCTCTCCAGTGTAAGGTGTCTTCAGTGTTTTTGATCTTAGCCTTTCTGACAAGTGTAAGGTGGTATCTCAGAGTCATTTTGATCTGCATTTCCCTGATGATTAGGAATGTTGAGCAATTCCTTAAATGTCTTTCAGCCATTTGAGCTTCCTCTGTTGAGAATTCTGTTTAGTTCTATAGCCCATTTCTTAATTGGACTGTTGGGCATTTTGATGTCTAATTTCTTGAGTACTTTATATATTCTGGATATCAGCCCTCTGTCAGATGTGGGGTTGGTGAAGACCTTTTCCCATTCTGTAGGCTGTCGCTTTGTCTTCTTGACCATATCCTTTGCTCTACAAAAGCTTCTCAGTTTCAAGAGGTCCCATTGATAAATTGTTTTTCTCAGTGTCTGTGCTACTGGTGTTACATTTAGGAAGTGATCTCCTATGCCAATGTGTTCAAGACTACTTCCTACTTTCTCTTCTATCAGGTTCAGAGCAACTGGATTTATGTCTTTGATCCACTTGGACTTAAGTTTTGTGCATGGTGACAGATATGGATCTATTTGCAGCCTTCTACACATTGACATCCAGTTATGCCAGCAACATTTGTTGAAGGTGCTTTCTTTTTTCCATTGTACAGTTTTAGCTTCTTTGTCAAAAATTATATGTTCATAGGTGTGCGGATTAATGTCAGGGTCTTCAATTAGATTCCATTGGTCCACATGTCAGTTTTATGCCAGTACCAAGCTGTTTTTATTACTGTAGCTCTATGGTAAAGCTTGAGGTCAGGGATCATGATGCCTCCAGAGGTTGTTTTATGGTACAGGAATCTTTTGGCTACACTGGGTTTTTTGTTTTTCCATATGAAGTTGAGTATTGTTCTTTCCAAGTCTGTGAAGAATTGTTTTGGGATTTTGATGGTGATTGCATTGAATCTGTAGATTGCTTTTGGTAAGATTGCCATTCTTACTATATTGATTCTACCTATCCATGAGCATGGGAGATCTTTCCATTTTCTGACATCTACTTTGATTTCTTTTTTCAGGGATTTAAAGTTCTTGTCATATAGGTCCTCCACTTGCTTAGTTAGTGTTACCCCAAGGTATTTTATATCATTTGTGGCTATTGTAAAGGGTGATGTATCTCTGGAACACTATAACTATGAATTTTCAACTAACTATAACTATAACTATCTAATCTTCAACTCCCTCAGATACCCAAGAAGGAAATAGTATTACCTAAAAAAACAGGAAGTGCAAACAAGTGACTTCCAAAAAATTGTGAGTTGACAGAAACAGCCAGCTGCCTGGACAGTCACTCAAGG